TTAAGAAGATCAACATTAATATCGCCCACGATAATTGTCGAGTGAGATGTAACAATACTCTCACAAAGGGTACTCTCCAGTGTTTCGATAAAAAGAGGAAGATTAAAATTAGGGGGCCTATAAACCACTTCAAAAGTAATACAGAGTTTTTTTCTTGCATCAACGGTAAAAAATAGTTGCTCAATACGCACGATCCCTACGAACCAGATTGTAGCCAGGAATATTAACTAAAGAGTTGGATATATTAAGAGTTAACCAGGTTTCCGTCATCGCAAAAATATCAATATTGTTATCAAGGATTAAGGATTTTATTAGATTATACTTGGGAACCAATGATCTAACGTGATTACAATGATTACAGAACCAGATCGGGTGGATGATGAGTGGTATACCGGATGTCTCAAATAAAAGATTATTGATTCAAAATTTGATGAGAACATAGTACACCGCATACTACAGAATAGTCTCAACCAGCCTCGAATTTCAGATTCAGAATAATGTACTAAAGCAGTAAACGTGATCTCAACCGCCGAATGGGTTGGGTTGAGATTCTGCCGTTTTCCTAAAACTCTGTAAAATGTTTGTACTGTACATCTCAGATGACTTTAGCAGCAAATTTTAACTGGAGTGTTTTAATAAGACAAATATATTGATAAGGATTTTTTTTTTGAAATTATCATGCAGAAGTCGCATTACTGATTGCAATACGAACTTATTCTACGCCTGCATACGCGCAAAAAATGCTTCCAACTTCCAAGAATCACCTTGATGATATAAAAATTACCAAAAAGAAATAGTTTCGTCAAACGTTGTATTCAACGGAGATAACTGTAAAGAGTTGAGATAAATGTAATGTGTTTGTTATAATTTTAGTTTTTGACCCAAAACAAAATATTTTTAATGTTTAAGCTAATTTCAACAGGATATAAATAAACATATTGTGCCGGATAGATACACGCCTCGTAGCCCATCCTTCGATACGTCCCGTTTTAATCTAAATTCGTGCGGCGACGAGGCGTGTTTCGTTTGCGGTGACCTAAATGAATTAATTAAAATAATACCCGCGCAACGCGTAAGGATACATAAATATTTATAATGAAAGAAAAATAATCCGCATAGGTTTTCTAGTGGTACAGTTTTGACACAAGGCGAGAGAAGAAATTCCACTTCATTTGCAATATGTTTAGGTTATACGTTGTAAATTAATCCCACCAACTTGCAGGCTTCCGGCCAATTAGGTAATGTTACTGTAACATTTACCATAAACAAATACTTAAATGCTTACTAAAATAAGGAGATATTTATAATTATTTATGAAATTAGAAATGTTTAAGACAATGGAAGTTAATTTCTCTTTGAAATTATTGTTGCAAAGAATTGCATTAAAATTGCTTAAGAATATTAAGAAATTGAAATTTTTTACCTGCTACTTCTAGCTTTAGAAAAATGCGAAGTCCAATTCCTTTGCTTCTCAATTAATTCCTTACTATTAAATTTTCGTTCGGGTTTTTCCGGTTTCTTCATGACAGCGGGTTTAGCCCTTTCCTCTTTCACTTCCTTCACTACTACAACATCATCTTTCCCATTCACTTTCCCGTCTAAACAATTATTTTTCTTCACTATCACAATCGATGAATTATTGAAACCGTTTAATTTATCGAGCTGTTGCTGTTTCTCGGTGGTTGTACTGTTAAGAATCGGCACGCTACCGCTATTGTAACGGTTATCTACCAATTCGTAGGCGGTGGTGGCCCCTTTTTTTGAAGATGGGGGCGGTAACGGTGGTGTTGGTGATCTTGATCCGTCGTGCGATTTCGTTTCTCTCGTCTCACTATTTGCAGAACTACTGCGGGACCTTCAACAACACAAGACGACCACGGTTAAGTGATTAAGACGTTTTACCGACCGTGAAAGTGTTGAAAAGCTACGGGAGGTGTTGGGTTTTAATGGTGGGGAATTTCAAGATTAGTGTTTGCAAGAATTTCTTAATCTTTATTAAAATTAGTCAGGCGTGATTCATTTTTGGTGTTAATTTAAAAGGTTTTGGATACTCACCGTAAATCTAAGATGTTTGAGGCACTTTTCGTACCTTGTAAAGGTACCATTGAACCTTTAGTCGAACGATTTTCTTCCCCCAATTTTTCAAAAAGTGCCCTTGCGTTGTTAAAACGAGTCACGTGGGACTCCGTCCTCATGACAGTTACCGAAGGTGACGATTCCATATTTTCAGATTTAGTATTAACACTTGATCTTCCTCTATTCGAACTTTTAACTTCTTCGTTTCGATCTCTTCCGGTTCCGGTGGTAAGGGTCGTTACAACTGAAGTAGGAGAAGGTCGCGAACCTTGCTGAAAGATATTCGCGATTTGGGAGACCTTAGATCCGCCGGCAGAAATTCGTCTCTTGTCCTCCATACCGAAGACACGACGACAACGGTTCTTCTTTAACCTGATAAGAACCCATATTAACAGAATTAATATTTAAAAACGATATTAAAAGGTATTCTCGTTTAGAATTAACACGAATACTAAAACGACCTGACGTGTTTTTTTATCTTGTATTCAACATCTTATCTTTACAAACGAGATAAAAATAATTCGGTAAGATTAGACGTAAATAAACAATTTTGAAGTAATTATAATCAATATTGACCGCGTCAAAAGTAATTAACCCCCCAAAAATAAGAAAAAAAAATTACTAACTAAAAGTAAATTTAACCTTGTTTGAAATTCAAACATATATTCTTGATTAATCATCGTGAAGTAACGGTATCGGCGAGCGTTGATAAAGGCAAAAATGAAACTGTATAAATAAAGAGCAAACACAAGTGCTTCTTGGTGGTTGACAGATAATTAACTCCGGGTAACATTCCGGTATAATTAATCGTTCAAACGGGTGAAAGAAAAGGAAAAATACTTGCTGTCTGTGTAATGAATGTTATTAAGACCGGAGAAATATAAGAGATAAACGTGAGACTTGTACGGAATCAAGCTGTTGTTCTAAATAATAATGAGAAGTTATTTTGTAAAAAAAGTTTTCTTTTAATAGTGTTATTTTTATTGAAACATTTAAAAGATTTTATTTTATTAATGGTTAAGAATTAAAAAAAAATAATTTTTATTGCTAATGGTCAACGAACAAAGATATTAGCGCCTCAGCAGCAAGCAACATCGAGGATTAAGTCGAAATCACATGCAGCTGAGACTCTACAATTACACCTAAAGTGGCTGTTCGGTCAGTTATCTGCTATAACTCGCAATATATAAATGCAGTAATCATAGTTACGAAACTATTATTCACTTGCACTCACATAAAATGGTTATTTTGCAAAGGAAAAATTTTGCTTAGAAAAAGGTGACGTTCTTACGATAACCCTGATTTTTCGGCCATCTTAAGACACGCACGGCTAATCCCGAATGTTTCTAGTTCTGGATCTAGTGTTAGTTCTAGTTTTAGTGCAATAAAAATATGCAACATAGTGATATCTTATGCTAATTAGCGCTACCTACCACTGTCACTAGAACTGGCATTAAACCTAAAACTAGAAACATTCGAAGAGATACTATATAGATAGATATAGTATAGATAGATTTCTAGTTCTAGTGTTAGTCTAGTTTTATTTGTTATTCAGCGCTAAATTGTTGTACATTTTTATTGAGTTATAACGGACAGTCATAATTAAAGATTTGTTAGTAATCATGTAATTGCCAGCGTAAATGTCATTCATATTTGCTAACGTTAATTTACAAATCTTTCTAAATCACATACTAATCTGCTTTCGCATAAACTGCTAACCAGTTCCAGAGCGTTCTTCTTTATCCTATATTGAGGTTGGGTTGATTTGATACGTGATCGTTTTCTCTTTGAACAACATTGTCGCGTTGGTTGGAAAAGTTGCGAGCAGTACTTAGCCATCCATTACACGCTCTAACTTTTTGTCTTCTGTAAGCAATATCTAGTCTTCTGCTACCAGTATATGGTCTTTTCCAAGCACTACCTACTTATGTATTAGCAGATCTAGCCTTCTATCGGCAGTATCTAATTTTCTGCCAACATTATATAAGCAGTAAATAGTNTTTACAAATCTTTCTAAATCACATACTAATCTGCTTTCGCATAAATTGCTAACCAGTGAGCGTTCTTCTTTATCCTATATTGAGGTTGGGTTGATTTGATACGTTGTCGTATCATTACACGCTCTAACTTTTTGTCTTCTGTAAGCAATATCTATTCTTCTGATAGCAGTATATGAATTTCTACTAGTTATTCATTAGCAGATTTACCCTTATGTCGGTAGTATTCAATCTTCTGTCAGCAATATCTAGTCTTCTGCTACCAGTATATGGTCTTTTGCAAGCACTACCTATTTATGCATTAGCAGATCTAGCTTTCTATCGGCAATATCTAGTCTTCTGCTACCAGTATATGGTCTTTTGCAAGCACTACCTACTTATGCATTAGCAGATCTAGCCTTCTATCGGCAATATCTAGTCTTCTGCTACCAGCATAATATGGTCTTTTGCAAGCACTACCTACTTATGCATTAGCAGATCTAGCCTTCTATCGGCAATATCTAGTCTTCTGCTACCAGCATAATATGGTCTTTTGCAAGCACTACCTACTTATGCATTAGCAGATCTAGCCTTCTATCGGCAGTATCTAGTTTTCTCCCAACATTATATAAGCAGTAAATAGTTCTGCCAGGAGTATATAGTTTTCTACAAGCAGCATTAAGTCTTTTTTCAACATTAAATGGTCTTCTGCAAGTAGTCTCTGGTCATACATTAACAAATCCAGTCCTCATTTGGCAGTATCTAGTCTTTTGCCAAAATGTATGGTCAACATCTACATCAACTACAATACTTGAATCTGTTGTAGAAAAACTTCACTATCCGATAGATGGGTGATTATACAGAAACTATCATTTTTCACTTGGTAATTTGAAAATAGTTTTTTTGTTCCAAATTTTGTTTTTTAATACACAAACACGAACTTTTGTTCAAAATGAACCTTGCAAAGTTCAAGATCAAACAGTTCAATTATTGTCTAGCCAGAATTGACTTGTTTTTGTAAAAACGATATGCAGAAGAATGACGAGATAAGCAGAGGAATGATTTTTTTATTTGATACGGTAAAATAATACAATATTAGGCATAATATGCATGTTAAAACCAAAACAGTGAATAGGGAAAACTAAAATACAAACTTGCTTAAAACAAAAGAATATTCAATGCAATAACGAAAAAACGTTAACGTTTTACACTTGAACAAGCAGCTTCTTGATCTTCGTCAGAATAAACATCTTCAAACTGTAGCTTGTTTTGAACTTTTATGGAACCGCTGATATATCTGCTTAAAAGAGTGTCCTCATCATCACTAGACGTGTCACTAAAGATAGTTCATCATTAAGCCCAATTTTGTTGAATTTAAGGGAACCAATGAAGTATTTTTTATTGCCGTTTATGAAAGTGCTAAGTTCATAAAAGTTTAATCTGATGCTACTTTCATAATCTTCTTTTTTTATTTGGTGTACTTTCATTGTTCCTCTAAAGGTTTGTAGCAAAACATTCTTAAGTTTTTGGGACATTTCATCAATTTTGTCTGCATCAATCTGATAGTAAGTTATGTTCTGAATGTTTTGGCACAGGTTATTCAACATAGCTTTTATTTTGACCATATCTGCTCCTTGACCAACCAATCTATCTAACGTCCTTTTAGTAACTCCTCCTATCCCGTCAGGTGCCCCCTTTCCGTGACCAGCTTCTAAATAGTTCCAAGTAAAATTTTTTACTTTTGGGTGCAATNTTCATTAAATGGTATATGGTCTTTTCCAAGCACTACCTACTTATGTATTAGCAGATCTAGCCTTCTATCGGCAGTATCTAATTTTCTGCCAACATTATATAAGCAGTAAATAGTTCTTAGGTTAATTAGGTCTTTTTTCATTAAATGGTTTTCATTAAATGGTATATGGTCTTTTCCAAGCACTACCTACTTATGTATTAGCAGATCTAGCCTTCTATCGGCAGTATCTAATTTTCTGCCAACATTATATAAGCAGTAAATAGTTCTTAGGTTAATTAGGTCTTTTTTCATTAAATGGTCTTTTGCAAGTAGTCTCTAGTCATACATTAACAAATCCAGTCCTCGTTTGGCAGTATCTAGTCTTTTGCCAAAAATGTATGGTCAACATCTACATCAACTACAATAATTGAATCTGTTGTAGAAAACTTCACTATCTGATAGATACACTTAAGCTGTTTGGTAAAGATCACTTATGGCATAAATTATCATGCCATAAACATTATCATTATTTATTATTATACAGGGTCATCCACGACGACCGTCCATTAGAACTTTACAGGGTTCTGGCCAATACAAAAATTTGAAAATTCAGATTTAAGTATTATTAATNGACATATCGCCATCTACCATCATATTATTTACGTACTTCTTGCGAGCCAGAGGAATGACCGCTAAAGGTGGTAACATAGTTTCTATCATCTTTTTGAGGGGAGTTTTAAAGTGGAACATATTTTTAGACTAGTTTTACTGAAAGTTCAGGTTTGCTTAATCAAAATGTAAAATTACAAATGAAGAAAGTTAATAGATTTTTGTCTAATATGTACAGGGTGGTTCAAATTCGATGTCCGAATAGGCTATCTCGGAAACTATAAGAGCTAGAAAAAAAGTAGCTTACATGTCTTGACCTCTTTTTTTAAATAAGTTCCAATGTCGAAAACCTCAAAACGCTATCGTCTTTTGTTTTTCCCCTAGAGGCCAAAATTGAAAATATCGTAAAACCAGCAAGTGCAATTATCTTGGTTATTATTATAGCTGGAGTATTATAACTAAGACATTATATGGACACTTTTTTACAGAGAATTTGATGACGTAGTCAAAA